GTCTTTCTGTCAGTGTGGTTTTTCCAGAGTCAATGTGAGCAGAGATACCAATATTTCTAATTTTTGACACATCCCTCAATCAAAATAAAGGAGAGATTGCTGTTTTTAAAGCACACAGCCAAGGCCACGAATGTTGAAAAAGCACTCATCCAGAAATAAATAGTTCCACAAGGGACCTGCATGTATAAAAGTAATGAACACTGCAGAAAAACCAAGGCTTTCCCTAGGTAACCAGGGTTCTTGCTAAAGAGTTTCATAGGAGGTAAAAAATAAGATCTAGTAGGCAACTTTGTTACCTTACCCTATGCTGGGGTGTGTGGGCCGCACAGGCCTCCACTAGGGTCTAGGGGTAGGTTTTCCATGCCATGTTGCTAACTGCGACATTTCTCCAAAAATGCTGGGCCTTTTCACTTGACCGTGAGAAGAATGGAATGGAAAACATGGTGGTCATTTCATGAAGTGACTGCGAGGGATGAATTTGGTCAAAAAAGCAGGATTTCTTTAACATATGGTGTATTTTCAAACCAGTAACATGTGATAGATTTCTTCACAACATTGGTTGGAAGGAGAAAATATGTATTTTTTCAAAAAAAAAAAAAAAAAAAATCATTGGATAACTTCAGTAAACATTTCAGTCCCAGGTCTTAGTGAAATAGCTGGTAAAATTTATTTGAACAGCTAGTAAAAATAACCAGTTACCAGCTCTTAACAAGAACCCTGAGTAACATAGTAGCAGAAAATACATAGGTAAACTCAGGAGAACCACCAGGATTTCTTCAAAGGCAGTAGGAAGTCACACTGCATCAAACAGAGGGCACACAACAGAATGTTATGTTGACTGTGACCCTGTGTTTTACTCAGTGTGACAAAAAGAGGCTTACAGAGGTGGGGGGGGGGAGTTCACAGGCACCTAGAGACCTCCCCCCTAGCTACATTCTTAAGAGTAGCGGGATAATATCACTATTCAGGTGGGAATAAAAGACAAGGTAGAGGAGGTGGACAAAAATTAACATCGGTGAACATTTAATTTAGTTAAAAGCTGTTTACATTCCCCGAGGAGATTGTGTACCTTAAATAATATTAAACTTATGGGCACTTACCGTTACTCCAGACGCGAAAAAACGAACTTTAACCTACAAAAAATAAGAATCTGTTTGTAAGATTCAAGACAAATTAATAACGAAAGATAAGTACAACAAGGTCAAATCAAGTACTGCAGTACAAATAAATGCAGTTTTTACTCCCTTATATATTGTATCAAACTCGATCTGGAATTATTCTTTCCTTATAGATATCAAAATAGAAGAATGACAATTCAAAATGATCTTACTCTTTTGATTTCTGATTCTATCGTTACTTCGATCTCAAAACTTTCATAACCTTTGAAGTAAAACAAATCGCATTGTTGGAGAAAGACGTGCGATTATCTAAGCTTTTCACTATTTCCTTTATTGAGAATTCTTGTTTCGTTAAAATTCATTAAAGCTAACATAACGGTTCAAACACCAAGGTTAAAAATCTTACATTACGAACAAGAAGGCGAAGTTCAGATCGCTGGATCAACAGTGTCGTTAAACCCATTTCTCGAGCTAAAGCATTACAGTCCGTATTTTTAAGGAACCTTCTAAGTAGTTTTCACCAGGCGCACGTGAACCAGTTAGCGCATGACCAGACAATACCTACTGCTGCTTACCAGTTTCGTGGAAAAATGAGAAAGCCATTTCCAGGGCTGAATAATGAAATGCTTACGACAGAGCGAATGCCGTCAACAACGCGGGCTCAAATGTTCTAGGTCTAAAATTTAGCGAGGAAAATAATAAGGGCTGACTTTTAAAACCGAGGAACTCTGTTTTCGTCGGAGGCATTTTCCTATTTCCAGAGGTTTTAAGGAGAAAATTAATTTTTGAAAATTTTAGGGGGTGTACCAGGTTTTTGGAGGTTGTTCTGTTAAAGAAAAGCGGCAAGGAAATGACGCCTCAAAGCAACAGAATAGGAAATCAACAATGCGAACGACTCAAAATCCGTATCTCCGCGGCAAAATCCAGCGCATGCGTGAACGTTATTCGGCTCTGTTATCTGCAAACACATGTTATGTGATTCTTGATTTTATATCTGTTATATCTGTTATTAAACACGGTTTTAGGCGCCGCCGATTTTTAAACCAGCTGAGTAATCAGGCCTAACACCTGATGAATGGCGTGCGTGGAGCAGAATTAATGCACAGCTCGCCAATAGCTCTCTCTCTGCTCATCACAAAAAGACAGAAAAATCATAATTTGAATCAAGAATAGTTTTATTTGTGACTCCAGCTTGTGCATACAGATATACAAATCGCCAGAAGATAGATAAAAATAAAACTATGATGAACTGGTGGATAACCTGTGCAGAGTATATGACAAGAATATACAGTAGTGGATTGAACTAAAAGCCAATGATCCTTTAATTTCAAGAAAAAGAAATTTGAATTGAGCCGTTATCCACACAAGAGTCTTAACCAATTCGTCTACCATATTCAAATGTATCATATGATCTCTGGCCCTGCTGGCGCAATCCCGTAGAAAACCGTACCCAGCTCTCCACCCTTAACCCCCCCCTCCAGAAAGAAAACTTCTGTCTCATGCAAAACCTCTCTCACATCAAGACTGACAACAGTCACTGCTCACCCTCCCAATATTTTCCTTTTTCTGTGTCATCTTTGTTAGTAAATTCTCCCTCTTTCTACCTGACGGCTTTTCCTAAAATACTCACCTGAGGGCTTAATGCATACCCAGTTCCCATGGAAAAACAGGAAAGGAAAAAAACTTGTCGACTGGCAAAGAAAACAGGGACACGATCAATCGGGAATGAATTCAAAGTGAGAATAATTGCATTAAGCCACTCTTGCACCATTATCTACAGTCGCATTAGTCACTCTCGTTCCCAGGACCTTTTCTACGGTGGCTGACAAGGGTCACTACATAAAAAAGGTCAACTGCATATTAAACAGTGCATCATATACACACAAAAAAAAGTTGCTGTAAATAAAAAAAGATGTTGCTGCAAATAAAAAAAGATGTTGCTGCAAATAAAAAATGTTGCAGCAAATGAAAAAAAGATGGTACCCAGTCTTGCTCCTTTGAAGCCTCGTGCAAAAACACTTCACCGAGATCGCCCTGTTTTGTCCTAGTTGCGGGAAGCCAGCAAAGAATCAAAGTTTTGCTCAGCTTGTGGCTTTTCCCTACAGCAGTCGAGTGTTCCATGCCCCTCAGGGATCGGCTCTGAAGCGGAGCAACCTGCAGTGAAGACTCCAATAAAATTTCAGGAATTTTTAAAACGAAAGAGCGAGAGCAGAAAGGAACATTCGAAGCCAAAATCTACCAGGAAAGTGGAAAGAGATGTTTCTATAAACATTGGCATCATCACTGCTAGAGGGAAAGGCCACAAACTGAGCAAAACTTTGATTTTTTGCTGGCCTCTTTCCCACATCGAGGACAAAACATGGCGATCACAGTGAAGTGTTCTTGCGCGAGGCTTGAAAAGAGCAAGACTGGGTACCATCTTTTTTTTATTTGCAGCAACATTTTTTATTTGCAGCAACATCTTTTTTAATTCGCAGCAACATAATTTTTTTATTTGCAGCAACTTCTTTTTTATTTGCAGCCACATTTTTTGTGTGTATATGGTGCAGTGTTTAATATGCAGTTGACCTTTTTTATGTAGTGACTCTTGTGGACCACCGTACTTTTCCCTTACAGTGCGGGTGGAGTTGGGGTGGGAACTAAGGGAAAAGGCCCTAGGAACGAAGTTGTCACATCAGTGACAAACTCGACTGAGCGTGTCGTGTGCCAAATTTCTTTTTTTTTCCACATTTTGACGTCATCTGCGATCTATAACGAAGTATATGCAGGGCAATGTGGAATCCGAAGTTTTTAAGTCTCTCCATGGCCTAGAGAGCAATTTTTGTATTGAATAATTAAAACTACCCCTGTTAGCACTCACTCCAACAACTTAACCGTGAGCTGAACTCTCCTTCGGTTTCACGTCCCACAACGGTGCATGCAAAAACGAAAAACTACTAAAGGCATAAATTATTGACCTGTGCGATAAATTGGCTTGGTTCACACAATAAAAAATTTCATCCAGCAACCTATCTCTGCAATGATTGGCTCGGCTTAAGAATGGCTCAAGAATGAGTTCGAAATCGAGTAAGTGCAAGAAAAAAAGCCTTTTTTCATGTCTGAAACTCTCACGTCAGAGCCCCTTTTTTGACTCACAGTGGCCTCCTCTCAATTTATTCCCAGTCTCCTACTTGACAATGCCAGAAGTGATTAACAGGTAACTTCTCCCTATGGTATCCATACATTATCTGGCAAACAGGTAATAAGAATTTAACACTTAGTACTACAAATCTAACACCAAATTCTCGTAACGAATTAACTAGGAAATGTGTATCAACGAGAGGGGAGAATTTGCAATCAGCTCTTCAGAGTAAAAAGGTTCAAGCAATTAAACCCACAAACTGAAGGTATAGGAAGCAATATATTCCCAGCGAGCAATCTATCAACAAATCTTTATTCAATGCGATTCTATTTACAACAATCGTTTTATTTTACTCACACTGAGCTATGACAGTACAAATACTTTGTAACTCTCGTTGACCCAGAAAAAAGGATTTACAAAACTTACTTTGAGTACCTATAATAATAAACTATCAAGTCCACAAAAACTATTAACGTTTTCAGGCTTCAAGCTGCTTTCACGACAGCCTTTTACCATACACTTCTACTATGGTCAGTAATGATTCAAAATATTTTGTTTACAACCATTTCGTAACTGTTTCTTTTTCAAGATTTAGCTTAAAATTAAGATCATTAAAAGATATTGGCGAGATCTCTTGTAAGCTAATGATGTAAATTAGTTTGACGCTGCTTCCCACTTTTACAGAAAGTGCTTTAAATGGCTCAATTTCTAAATTATAAGTTCAAAACCTGGTCTGTATTTCTCCGCTATGGCTTGAAGAATTTTTTTTTTTTTAACGCACTAACACTAAACATACAGTCTGGTTAGCGTACAGCTTGGATTCTGTAACGCTTCACATAGACTGGCAACACCGGTATCAGTGATCCCACAACTACTCAGAATTAGTGTGGTTAGCTTACAGCTTGGATGCTGTAAAGCTTCACATAGACTGGCAACACCGGTATCAGTGATCGCAATACTACTCAGATCTAGTGTGGTTAGCTTACACCTTGAATGCTGTAAAGCTTCACATAGACTGGCAACACCGGTATCAGTGATATTAAAATTACAACTCAGATCTAGTGTGGTTAGCTTACAGCTTGGATGCTGTAAAGCTTCGCACAGACTGGCAACACCGGTATCAGTGATCTTATCCCCACTCAGATCTAGTGTGGTTAGCTTACAGCTTGAATGCTGTAAAGCTTTACACAGACTGGCAACACCGGTATCAGTGATCTCATTATTCCCCAGATCTAGTGTGGTTAGCTTACAGCTTGAATGCTGTAAAGCTTCACATAGACTGGCAACACCGGTATCAGTGATCCTATTAAAACTCAGATCTAGTGTGGTTAGCTTACAGCTTAAATGCTGTAAAGCCTCACATAGACTGGCAACACTGGTATCAGTGATCCCAACAACACTCAGATCTAGTGTGGTTAGCTTACAGCTTGAATTCTGTAAAGCTTCACATAGACTGGCAACACCGGTATCAGCGATCCTCCCACCCGACAGATTGAGTGTGGTTAGCTTACAGCTTGAATGCCGTAAGGCCTCACACAGACTGGCAACATCGGTATCAGTGATCCAATTACCCTTCAGATCTAGTGTGGTTAGCTTACAGCTTGAATGCTGTAAAGCTTCACATAGACTGGCAACATCGGTATTAACCATCCAATCACTCATGAGATTTAGTGTGGTTAGCTTACAGCTTGGACGCTGTAAAGCTTCACATAGACTGGGAAATCCGATAGCAATGATGTCATCAATCCACAGATTTAGTGTGGTTAGCTGACAGCTTGGATGCTGTAAAGCTTCATATAGACTGTCAACACCGGTTTCATATATGTTATTATCCCACAGACCTAGTGTGGTTAGCTTACAGCTTGGATGCTGTAAAGCTTCACATAGACTGGCAACACAGGTATCACTTACGAATGATCCCGCTATAGTCAATTGAGACACAACAGAGTGTTCATTGATCAGTGAATTACAGACTCGTTGCATTCCAGACATTGTTAGGTGGAAAGTTAAAAGTGACAATGCCTTAGCTGGGACGAACTTATCAGAACATTTGTGTTGTGCCTCACCAGCTTCCTCTTTATTTAGTTCACTGATAATGTCCAACACAAATGATAATGCAATGCTGTCTATATCTGATAAACCTTCAAAATACATGACACCGTCTGAACTACTGAACGCTCGCGGATGATTCCTGATAAACGTTTTAGCGAATTCTTTGTCTTGATACTCACTCAGACACTTTGCTCTCAGAATGGCGAAGAACTGGTTACTGCAATACTGCATTGCTCGTCGTCTAAAGGACTGCGCATACCGAAAGTAAAGATTAAATCGATCCGAGATTCCGCTTTCACAGGGAACAAAATGTCAAAACATAATAAATGTGTTTTTATGTTTTGTCAGAGCTAGTGAGCAACTCAAGATAAAGATTACATTGCGCTTTATTAAAAACAAAAGTGTAATTTTGAATTGTTTCGGGATTCTTATTTGAAAGCATTTATTTAAAAAAAGAAAGTAGCACAATCCTCAGCATAACTTGGAATGTAATTGGGCAATGCTAGTAGCATTATTTGGCATCATTCTAAAGTTCTATCAGGGGCCGCCCGAGTTCTTGTGCAGAAGAGCGGAGTTGCTCAGGTTAAAGATACTCCAAGATGTCATATTTAGTTTTCTAATTAAATTTCTTGCACATCTATAATGCAGCGTGATACATTTTTGCAACAGAGAGAAAGATTTTGTTCCCTCCGAGTCCTCGTCACTCTAGAGTGCCAGCTACACAGTTTAAATTAAAAAAGATACGTCTATCTTATTCAAACTGTTCCCCATCACCACTTTTTTTGTCTTAGTCAAGCTGCGCTAATAAACAGAGCCGAGCCGAGATATTAAGTGAGACCTAAGATTGAGGGTCGATTATTTAAACGAAGTTTAAACGTCTTTCACAAAATTCATCTACAATTTAGCCGAGACTTTCATTTGAACATTTATTTTTATGAACAGTGTCAAGAGGGCCAAAAGGTTATAGTAAAAGGACCTTAATTTAATTAAACAAACCCTCTTAGAATCTCTGAGGATCACTGCTTGCGTATAATCGCGGATTGGGTTACACAACGTGTAAAAAACCGACCCTAATTGTCCAATCTGTAATCCAGTATAATTTCGGATACGGCCCGGCAACTAACTCCTAAAAGGTCATCAAAACTCGCGGTGTATACTACATAAGCTGGGTTCTTAAACGAAAAATCTAACCTCTCACTTTATCTGTCAATACACACCTCTGCATGTAATTTTTTGGAATATAACCTAGCAAAGCTAGACAACTCAAATGAGGGTGACTAATTTATGCAACGATTGATACTTAACAAATAGTAAACACCACAGCGTACACTATTGAGCTATGGATGCACGCGGGAGGTTGCTAAGCACGAAAGAAGCGTAAGAGTCGCGCGAGGCGATAGCCGAGAGCGAGTAGCTTCCTGAGTGCTTAGCAAACCTCCCAAGTGCATCCTTAACACAATAGTGTACACTGTGGCGTTTACCATTTGTTTTATCACATAACATTGTTACATTGTAGCAAAAGAGTTTTCTTTCATTTAACAAATCTTAAGTGACCAGAAAAAACAAGCGCGCGCGGAAAACTAGTCTGCATTTGCTCACGTCAACAGCGTACGCCCATGGGCAAATGGTGGACGCTGAATTGACCATTCAGAGCGCGCGCTTTACTCTGGTTATTTTATAAATGTCATGGCGGACAGTATAGACGAAAATGTAGCCAGTAAAACTTTCTTACAAAATCTTTGCAGTTCTATTTTCATTGAGCGTTACTTTTCACTCCGATTATTGAAATACTTAAACTACCTTGTAAGTCTCTTTGACCCCAAATTAGGATTTTTACTGCCTGCATTTCTTTTCTTGAACTATAAAAATCAATTGAAATTAAAAAAACAAAATATTAATAAAAAGACAGGTGTAAAGAT